TGATAACCCTAACCCTAACCTTTTATCTTGTCCCCTGGCAACCCCAAAATCAATTTAGATAACCCTAACCTTTTACCTTGTCCCCTGGTAACCTCAAAATCAATTTAGATAACCCTAACCCTTTACCTTGTCCCCTGGCAACCTCAAAATCAATTTAGGTAACCCTAACTCTTTACCTTGTCCCTTGGCAACCCCAAAATCAATTTAGATAACCCTAACCCTAATTTGAAATATCAAATTCAACTGTCTTTGTTTTTTTATCTGTCTCAATATGTGTTAGGCGTAACTACGGACCATGAGAAACCTTAATTTGAAATTTGAAAAGGAGGCACTCTAAACTTTAACTACAATATTTAAAAGCAGTCATAGCAAAATATTCTCATTAAGGAGGCTCCACCCTTTCGCGATTAGCCAGCAGAATTCAATGAAAGTTTCACATAATGTTTATGTCACTATGTAGAAATTATTTTATGAAAATCTAAGCATTACGATAAACTTGGGATTTTTTTTGTAAAAAAACCTGAAAAATTGAATTTTTGTCAAATTCAACACTTTCAAATTTTTTAAGTTTGTGGCATTGTTAAAAACTATTACAACAATAAAACAATGAAAAAAAACATTGTTTATCAACCCTACAAAATCTCTTATTTATCATAAAATACCTACAACATGTTACACAAAGCGCTTTTTATTGAAATTGTATGAATAAAAGTGACTGAATACAGGCTAAAAGCAAACAGGACCCATAGTTTCATACGAAAAGAGTGAAAAATTGAACCAAATACACACATTTTAAAATAATTTTGATCCTGATGACAGTTGTCTACCTTGAAAAAAATAGGAACTTTTGGCAGAGGGATAGAATTTTTACAATGACACTTATTTTCTTTTTTACTATACCAAAAACGACGGAAATAAATTAAATTACAATATTTAATTGTAAATTTACTGTTCTTTTTTGGAACAAAATAACTCTCAATCATGTACATTTTGGACATCATTTCATAGCCCGCTTACGCATTGTATATTTACATGTCAGGTACATATGTAACCATAGGCTATCGCATGGTATGCCGTTATCACGTGTACTCACATGCACTTGCAATTTATAGGGATCTTGATATTTTACAAACCACTATTTTCACAGATTATTGTAATTGCATTTGTGAAACGATTTATCTGACCGAGCGTAACTAGCTCGACAACAAAAGTCGTAGCGACCAAGAGCTTGTAAACTACTGTTAGCACGTGATACGTACAGGTGAGGTTGGTAAACAAAACACATCAGTCTGCATTCCATGCGCCTCATATATGACCTTCTTGAAGTCGACTGATATTATGGCAGTGTCTTCCCGTGAGTTAATTAATTTCTTTGTATCATAAGCTTTATTTCTGAAGTACGTGTGATTATATATTTCCAAGTTAAGTCTCAATATCGCGTGTTGACATATCATCATCACGCACGTGTACTATTGTTTACCCAGTGTTACTATAATTTACATTATTATTTTTTCATATTATTCCCGACAAGAGATTGGACAGGAGTGCATCACGTGTCAACCGATAAAAACCGATATTGACTTGGAGCGCATGATTTTTGTTGAAGGACTGAGTGTTTCTAAAAATAGAATTATGTCGTGTCTCCAAACGACGCATCGTCCCGCTTCGGTAGATTTTTGCTGTATTTTTTTTTTCAGATTGCTAACATTACTCTTTTGAAAATAATAAAACAATTGTCGCCTTTGACTTTGGTCGATACCTGGATTTATCGACTTCAGCCAAAGGCTCTAATTGAATACTACCGAAATGGAATGCCCGATACCCAATACGGAAATGACGACACGAAAATACGACAAGAAAAACATGTGTATTACGAAGGGTGGTAAGTCCTTAAATATTATTACCCTGTACTACAAATATTTCACTCGCAAACTCTTTCGGCTCCATCTGTTGAAAATATCAGCCAAATGTTATTGTATGATTTTATGCTTTGTGGTTCTCCTTCAGAAGTTGTTTGAAATATTTGACATATTTGACCACTGTAACCTTATAAGGATATCTAGGTAATTTTCATTTTCACACTTTGTCAGTCGCCATCCCAGGAAGCTACCAGCTAACTATTATAAATCTATGCTCTAAGATAATTCAGAAGAAGTCGCTTAATTGTTTGACATATTTGACCCCTGTGACCTTGTAAGTTATTCAAGGTCATTTTCTTTTTTTAAACATTGTCGGGCTCTATCCAAGGAAGCAACCAGCCAAATATTAAGATTTTATACCTTTCAGTTCTTCAGGAGAAGTCATTTGAAGTGTTAGACACATTAGACCCCTGTGACCTTGAAAGTAAGTCAAGGTCATTTTCATCTCAAACTTTATCCTCCTCCTACCAACGAAGCTTTCAGCCAAATATTAAGATTCTATACCTTTTAGTTCTTGAGGAGAAGTCGTTTGAAGCGTTTGACACATTTGACCACTGTGACCTTGAAAGTAGGTCAAAGTCGGTTTCATTCTCAAATTTTGTCGGGCTCTTTCCCAGGAAGCTACCAGCTAAGCATGAAAATTCTATACTTTACAGCTCTTCAGAAAAAGTCGTTTAAAAGTGTTTGACACATTTGACCCCTGTGACCTTGACAGTAGGTCAAGGTCATTTTTATCTCAAACTTTATCCGACTCCTACCAACAAACTTTCAGCCAAATATCATGACTCTAGGCCTGTCCGTTCTTTAAAAGAAGTTGTTTAAAGGAAAAGTTGATTGATGCTGGACGGACAGACGCCGGACGGATGAGGGACGCCGTCTTCCGCCATCATAGTTTTCCGATCAGTCTCAATATTCAATATAGGTAACCAAGGACCATCGGATACTTTCATGTGATACTTGAGAAAGATCCCTCGAGTACTTTCTGAGAAATAGCACTTACAAGACTTTTTTAAGGATTGACGGATGGAATGACAGACCGTGGACTGTAAAGAGTGATTTGGAAAGCCCACCACCCGATGATTGTGTGCTAAAAATTCACCTTTTTTTTTTTATTTCTACAACTGTGATGGATAAAAACTGTTTTGGTAGGTAAATTAGAACTGTTGAAAATTCTTACCAACTGATTGTTCTCAAAAACATTTTCCTTGGATAGTGAATCGAAATCTCTGCAAAGAATAAAACCCAAATCAAACATTTATTATAAACATAAGCCTCAAAATTCATTAATACAATAATATAAATGTAATATTTCCTACAATAAATGTACCTAGTTGTCATGTTCCAGTTAATCGAGTTTGCTGAGTATCACTTGTTTGAGACATTTGACCAATTAATCTAGTAAAAAATCTGTGATTGAGTTTTCGTCCAACGTACATTTACACATTATCTACTATATGAGGACCTTTGTAGTTATTATTTGTCCGACTCATACGCTCATTTGCTTTTGACGCCTTTCGGCCAGGGTTAGGCCATTTTTTTATGCACAGACAGCAGTAACTTTTTGTCAGTCTCTCGTATCATATAAAAACACAAGCGTCTACATGAAATAAGTCAAGAGCAAATCGGAATGTAAAAATTGTTCAATTGAGCAAGATATATCATTCTTCATGGATGTAAGTGGCAAGAAAAATGGCTACTACGGAGGGAAGGGTCAAACAAAAGCTTTACCAATGCTGTACAATCTACCTGATAAACGGGATATATTAGGGAAACACTTTGGGTTTCTGAAAAAATTTGTAACTGGGTCCAGTGAGTAAAACACACTAGATATGAGAAAGCAGTTCATTTGGTGTTTTTTTGCCAATTTAGGTGTTAATAAAAACATGATATAAATCAACTATAGTTTCATAAACTTGATCGATGGATTATACCATATCTATGAATAACAAGCAAACACATGACATTACAGTTTACTACATGGGAAAGTTTATTAACTGACTGACATTTACAACAAATACATCTGTTGTTTATCATGATATAACAGTTACTACATGGGTAAGTTTATTAACTGACTGACATTTACAACAAATACATCTGTTGTTTATCATGATAT